TCTGAAACCCCTGGACCAACACAAGAGACTCTGAAACTAGGGGGACCAATACAAGAGGCACCTAAACCCCTGGACATACACAAGAGGCTCTGAAACTAGGGGGACCAACACAAGAGGATCTGAAACCCCTGGACCAACACAAGAGGCTCTGAAACCCCGGGACCAACACAAGAGGCTCTGAAACCCCGGGACCAACACAAGAGGCTCTGAAACTCGGAGGACCAACACAAGAGGCTCTGAAACCCCTGGACCAACACAAGAGGCACTGAAACTCGGGGGACCAACACAAGAGGCTCTGAAACCCCTGGGCCAACACAAGAGGCTCTGAAACTAGGGGGACCAACACAAGAGGCTCTGAAACCCCTGCTACCAGGGCCGCTGGAAGTAACTTTCAACAGGGGTTTCTGTGATTTTTTTTTCTTTTTTTGGACAAAAGTCCTATGAGCCTATAGGCCTATTGAAAATACAATAAATGAAAATGAATAAATACACTGAAAGTCACTACTTTATTGTCATATACACTTCAATGCACACAACCAAGGTCTGTAACACACAGACATCATCAGTTCTCAGTTAAACATCACAATAACACTAGAACAACGTAGATTTGGTCAGCTGGCATGAACTTGTGTTGATTGGCCTCAAAATAAACAAATTGAGGTACAAATACACATAATAGTAAAATAAAAAAAAGGCAAAATCGTGGCTTAAAATATCAATAAGAATTTAGAACATGATTTCATTTTATTTATGTATTTTAAAGAAGGGCTATCATTTTGTTACTGGTTGTTACAGATTGTGTTTTACTACCCAAGTTATTTTTGTACCATTGAGGTATAATAAAGCATGTTCGTTAATATCTGAGAAGCCTGTCTGAATCCGTCTGGAGGCAAAGTTCCTCCTTTTTGGAAATCGAAATTTGGTCACCCTACTGGATCAGCAGATGCAGAGGGCCGGACTGACCTTCCCTCCATGTGAGCCAGGACCACCTCTCCAGCCTCCTTCTTGATGCTGTCCACCAGAGGGGTCAGCTGGTCCACCTGCGTCGCTGCATCATCAGTCTGAAACAAGCAGCCGAAAACAGAAACCTGTCAGAAAACCTCACCTATCACTGAATGTCCTGTCGGCTTTACAGCCAACAGGACTCTTAAAAAAGGAAAAGCTTATTGTCATCTACCAGTCTTCCTGCTTGGACCAAGTCTACCATCAAATTGTTGTTAAGCATGGTGTCTTTTACTGTATAATTGTCTCCAAGTTCCCTCCAAACATAGAGAGTTTCTCGAATCTTTCTTTCCAAATTTATGAAGCTCTTTCT